CTGCTCGGCTCGGTGGCTACACCCGCTTCTACGAGGCGAAACTTTTTTGTATCGTTGGGGACTGGGGATGGGTCAGAATGTTTTTGGGGATTCAATGTGTGTTGGAATGCTTTTCAACAATGGGGCTCCCCTCCCACCACTGAGTGAAACAGAGGAAACATTGCTCGGATGACCAGAGCTGAGCCAGAGCTACTCCGGAGTTATACTCTCCACGAAAGTGTACTAGATCGTCCCATCAAGATTGACCCAAGGAAAAACTGGAGGGGCTTCAGCTCCAAATCGATTGAGTGGCATAGGCCGCCCCACCCTCCCGTGAGGGGAAAAAGTGGGTCAAAGAGGTGTGTTGGCGAGGGACAGTCCGCAGACTGATCTCACTTCAACTGCCAGTTACCCGGTTTCCACAGGTCGCACCCCACGGTCAACGAGGCGCCCATTCTGTGGGATGGACGACCTCTAGTTTTGCTGCACACGGGGTAAGCGGTGGAAGAAATGATAGAAGAAGGGGAAGGAGAAAGAAGGATGGAGAAAAGGAAAATGCACCAAAGAAGATGTTGCTCATGGATCCCAGGGACAGCGAGTCTATTTATATATCCCCAACCCATGTGTGAATTAATAAACATAAGAGTCACCCAAAGCCTTTAAAAACCTTTTATGCTCCGGAAGTCTCAAAAATCTGTCCTCAGAGAAAGTTGCATTTGAAAATAGCAAAAGTTGCAAAAAGTTGCAAGAAAAAGTAGCAAAAGTTGCAAGGCGTACGTATAGCTAAAACAATGCCACGGAACTATTGGAATACATTGTATTGTTGCTACGCTCATTGCAATCAAAAGTAACCAATATGAGTTTTGTTAGATCAAAATCAAAAGTTAAATGTGAATGTCTACCCCCCCAAAAAAAATTGCTTGTAGTACAAAAAAAGTTTGTCCCCTGACCACAGAATTCTACACTAAGTATAGAATTCTGTGCCCCTGACACATTCGTCAGGTCCTTAACTCTCGCTGACGTTGGGCAGGTGTGGCCGGCGTTGTTTTGGGGCTGTTCAAATAAAATCTTACACTTTGTTTGGGAATTTTTGCCCCCCCTCCTCCCGCCCTTACACTTTTTTTACACTTTCCTGCGACACCCCCCCCCCCCCCCCCTCAATCCCGTATATTACGTTTTTCGCTTTATAATAATATGACATTTATATTGGGCAAATCCGTGGTACAATCACTCTTCTATGTGCTTTACTTTTAAATGATTAATTATGGTATTCATGAAAAACATGCATACACATACATGTGACATAATACACGTAATTCAATACGCTATAAAAATATCGGAACTTTTCCAGAAAAACTTACTGTGTCATTTTACCACTTTAACCGCACCCGTATAATCAATATTAGACTAGATCTACATGTCAATGTCATGTAGCCCAGATATCTACCAGTGCGAGATGACATATATCGTGCTTGCCGCTCGAGGTCCACTGTATCGCCACAATGCTGTGCTTACCGCTCGAACTGAACTCTAAGTCTACGTGAATAGTGTAGAGTTACTCTCTTTTTATGCTATTAACAAAACAGTTACGTTGCCATTTTCGTTGATTATTTTTTTCACCTTACAAAAGTGTAATCTTACATTGGTTAACCCCCCCCCCCACCTTACACTTTAACTTTTACAGGAGTCAAAGACCCCCCCCCCCCCCTCTTTTTTTCCTGGCTTAAGATGATATTATTTTCCCTTTACGGGTTTTCTGGATGATCCATTTTAATCTACCCTCCTTAGCCTAAGATTTAAAGTCTTTCACAAATGTTTATATATGTGTACTAGATCTACCCTGGTGCTACGGAACAAAGCAAGCTAAGTAATCAGACGACCGTGTTTCCGATTGATTTACTCTAGCTAGACTATTGGGTCGGTCTGCTAGACAGTTGATGGTGCAAAGCGGCTATCGTGGCACAAATCGATCGCGCCCGACTCGTTGTTTCAAAACAAACACGTTGTTTTCAGGCGACGAGTCGGGCGATCATCCCGACCCGACCTGACCCGGGTCACGGGGCGGCGGCGGGCACCCGCCGTAGGCTAGTTCAAAGTGTAAAGAAGCGAATTGCCCCCCCCTCCCCCTTGGCGACGTTATTTTTAGTCGTGGAAGAAAATTTCGGTGTTTTTTATGAAATTTTATTATTTTTCCGAATTTTGCGGGAAATTGGCTAAAATTAGCGAATTCACGAAAATCGTTAAAGTTGCGCAAAAGTTGCGCTGACGGCAAAAGTTGCGCTGACGGCAAAAGTTGCGCGCGCAACTTGCGGGTTGCGGGCGCGAATTTTTCTGGGGACAGAATAATGGACCATTTGCGTACCTTTGTGCAAAAGGTCAGGAGGTCGTAAAGTCCACATAATGCAATGTCCCACTAACGTTAGTAAAAAAACATACTGGACTAAAAATTTAGGTAGCTTCTTGAAATTTGGTGGACAATGATGTTTTTGTATAGTGGACTTACACTGCAAATATTGATTGATTCCACCGATAACTTTGGATGATATGGGGTGTCCACATAATGTAGGTTTGGGGCAATGTCCACATAATGACCTCAAAACACGTATGTGTGTGTGTGTGTGAGTGTGTGTGTGTGTGTGTGTGTGTGTGTGTGTGTGTGTGTGTGTGTGTGTGTGTGTGTGTGCGTGTGTTATGCGTATGTGTGCATGAACTTCGTTATTACAGGTTAAGTGTCAGTTATTTAAGCGACCATAATAATATTATCAAACATTTGTTTAAAATGAAACCTGCAATATGTAAGACACACTAGAATTAATTAATCAAGCATTTCCCAGAGAGCGTCTGAACACCTATCCACTCCACTCTCCCAACAGAGCCTTTAAAAGCTGAGACGAAAGCCAAACACAGTAAGTGCACTTAAAAGTATAACAAAGCAAAAAACCCCAACAAGAACAACAAAACAAAACGAAACGAAAAACAACAAACAACCCCCCCCCCCCCCACACACACACCTGTTTATTGGCAGATGGGCTTCAGATAGATGAATGGAAGGAGGTGAAAATACTGAGAGAATGATGGAAGCTGAAATAAGATGCATAGTGTGTGTGTGAGTGTGTGTGTGTGTGTGTGTGTGTGTGTGTGTGTGTGTGTGTGTGTGTGTGTGTGTGTGTGTGAGAGAGAGAGAGAGAGAGAGAATGTGTGAGATACATAGATAGATAGAGATAGATACATAGAAAGATAGATGGATAGAAAGATAGAGAGAGAGAGAGATAGATACATAGAAAGATAGATGGATAGAAAGATAGAGAGAGAGAAAGAGAGAGAGAAAGAGAGAGAGAGAATGTGTGAGATACATACATAGATAGAGATAGATACATAGAAAGATAGATGGATAGATGGATAGAGAGAGAGAAAGAGAGAGAGAGAGAGAGAGAGGGAGAGAGAGAGAAAGAGAGAAAGAGAGAGAAAAGAGAGAGAGAGAATGTGTGAGCTACATAAATAGATAGAGATAGATACATAGATAGATGGATGGATAGATAGATAGATAAAGAGAAAGAGAGAGAGAGAGAGAGAGAGAGAGAGAGAGAGAGAGAGAGAGAGAGAGA